AGTCCTGTATCAGCCACTCCGTTATCTTGCCTGGGATCGATGTCATGCTGACAAGCCTATAATTAGCCGAGTCATCCCGTTTATCCTTTGAAAGAAAATTAATGTGCCAATATTTAAAGTCTTTTGGAACTTCCCCATTGTTCCAAGACTTACTGAAAATCAACATTAACCGTCCAATGAGTTCCTTGGCCAGCTTTCTGAAAACTCTTAAATGCGAGTGATCAGGCCCTACTGATTTAAAAATGTCTAACTTTAGTAGCTGATGTTTAACATCCTCCTGATATACTAGTGGAATGGAAAGAGTGTTATCATCATCATCATATGATGAGACTAAACCATGTGTTACGTACATGCCTCTTGGCTTGCTTCTGTTTGGGGAGGCAAAATGCTTCCAAGGCATTGGGCTCAGACACACTATGTTACTTCTGAAGTAGGGTGACCAGATGTCCTGATTTTATAGGGACAGTCCCGATATTTGGGGTTTTTTCTTATATAGACACCTATTACCCCCCACCCCCGTCCCGATTTTTCACACTTGCTATCTGGTCACCCTACTTCTGAAGTCACATTCTGTTTAACTCCTTGATACGTGTAGCGAGTCAGGCTTGCTTCTGGGTTAAGTCGGCAGAAACTCAGGTGCACGAACTGGGCAGAAAGTGTGCCTGGATAGGAGGCCTGATCTGTCACAGTGGGACAAGACACCTTCAACCTCTGCTCTGTCTGGAAGACCAGAAGTGAAAGTGGGTGGTTCTTGCAGGATCCTTTTGTCATCAGTGCACTCCCCCGGGAGTGAATCATCCTGGGATACGCCTGCCCCATGCAGATACCAGAGCGTGTAGTTTGTCAGTGGGGCTGACTGAAGCTGGATAGATTAAGACATGTGTGGTTCCTTGTTCCACATTCTATAGTGACATTGTAGTTCAGTAGGGGACAAAGAGACAGGACTCCTGGGTTCTACCATCCCACTCGGACACTGACTCTCTGTAAGATGACTCTGTGCTTTATTTAGCCCGTCAGTCGAGCCCTGCATTCTGCATCCAATCCGTGGAGCATATTTGTGGATATAAAGCGGATATCCACAGATTTGCAGGGCTGTACCCATCAGTGTCATTCTGTGTCTCTGTTTATTAATTTAAAGATGGGTAAAGGTAAATATTCCCATCTCACAAGGGCACTGCGAGGTTTTGTTAAGGTCGGTATTACATTGGGGTTGCTGCTTCTTTAAAAATGTGGATCAGTAAAAAGGCCAAAGTCTGTAGTCTGAATAAAATCCCTTGAAATATTTCTTGCACGTTTTATTCCGGTATGTAACAAATGGATATTTATGGTTTGGAATCAACCCTTCAAAACCATATGAACTGGCAACATTCCTCTCGCTCGAGCTAAAGAAACCAAATTGCCTCTGTGCTACCAACAGAGGCAGCATTTATCGGGGTCTATTATTTACTTTGAGGAGTGAATGCAAAGTATCATAGAATATTAGGGTTGGAAGAGACCTCAGGAGGTCATCTAGTCCAACCCCCTGCTGAAAGCAGAACCAATCCCCAGACAGATTTTTGCCCCAGTTCCCTAAATGGCCCCCTCAAGGATTGAACTCCCAACCCTGGGTTTAGCAGGCCAATGCTCAAACCACTGAGCTATCTCTGCTCCCGTAGTCAAACGCTGGTTCAGCCAGGGGTTTTCCAATGTCATGATTAAAGTTGGGTCTGAACAGCAAAGTCCAGCAGTTTAACTTAGTACAAATGTCTGCTTTTGGAGGGGTTTTGCTGATTGTCCTACGAGATCCAAAGGAATCCAGGTTCTGGGTCGGTGATCAGAGCACCCTGTGATTCCGTGTATCGCGAGCGACTTGTGCCTCTCTGTCTTGCCACTCTCAAGGCCAGCAAGAGGTATAGATAAGGAGCTGGAGGCTCAGAGAGGGATCAGCGTTGGAAACGCGGGGTTGCTCTGCTCCCTGGAAAGCTTCTTTCTAGAGACATGATGGGCTGAGCAATGACACCTTGTGGGTGCCTGTCACTGACAGGCTGATATCACAGGGTTATCCTTTTAACGCTGTTGGCCAGATGGTCTGGTCCCTGAACGGGAGGGACAGGCGGGGAGGGAGAGAAGCAGCCTTTTTTCCCCCTTTGTACTCCCCGTCCAGGGGCCAGCCGCATCTTCAGTCCTCGCACTCCCTCCCCCTTTCCCGTACCCTGTGCTTTGGCCTCCTCCTGCGGAATGGGGAGAAAGAGGAGTAATGTAGGTGCAGCTAACTGGATGCAAAAGGAGTCCGTGCTGCACCCTCAAAGATGCAGCCAGTGCTCAGGGGAGCTTTGGGAGGCCTTGGGCCACCGGCACTCCCCCCAGCGCAGCGTGGCTCTGCACCAGCTGCCTGTTTCGCAGAAACAGCCTCAGAGAATTTGGCCTAATTTCCAGCCGCAGAGAATTTGGCCTAAAATTTGCACAGACGAAGGGCTCGGCAAGAGCCCGGGGTTAGTCTAGCCTTGCCAGCGCCGGCCTCCCACACTCGGAGCCGGCTGTCGGCGGAGGAGGGAGATTTGGCAGGTAAATGGGTTTTCAAAGAAGCAGATGACACCGATATAACCTCTCCCTGAGTACCCAGGGGTGACTGCTTCGAAGCCGCAAACAAAACGTCCTTCCCATTCCCCACCATGTACATTTATTTAAAGAAAACCCACCCTCCTTCCTCCCCTCCCCCCAACTGTCCTTGTCTGCTTTTATCTTCCATTCATGTCTTGTTTCCACAGTGGTGGTGTGGTGAGGGTAAATACAGCACTTCAGTGCCCTTTTTAATCAGGGACTCCACAACGGGAGTCCAATGGTAGCAGAAAGTTGGCTGGTCTAAAAATACCAGTTTGACTGGCCCGGAATGGCACCTAAATACAGGTGATTGTCGATTTTTAACTTGTGGCTCCACTATTCTTCATTGCAACATTGTTATTGGTGGAGTCGGCTGGCAGATTTTTCGGCTGCGCTCTTGAATAGGCTCATTGATTTCTGTTTTATGTTCGTGCTGCTGCTCTAGGAGTGACCTGAGGTCAAACCGGAGTTTGAAAACATGCCCTGTTGAAAGTACTGCTGCTTGTTTGGAGGGGTTATTGACTCCATTTTTTATTTTTTTTTAGTAATCTATATGAAGATTTCCAAAGACTTAGGTGGGAAAAACCCAGTAGGTGTAAGGATAATGGAAAGCGAGGGCAAGCAGATCCTAAGAACAGCAGAGCGTAATGCATTTCTGAGTGCATTGTCTCTGAATATTTCATCTATAACCAGCGGTGGTACGAGTCTCGTCTTGTATTACGTACCCTTTTTAAACAGCAGTAAGCATCTTTGCTGTTCTCGCGCCGCACTGCTGTGATAATGGTTCAGAAACTAGCCCCCTACAGTATTGTCTGGGATTCCATTACTCAGCTGAGGAACAAATCTGTTCCAGTGTATCACTTTAACCTTTTGATGTATGAGACTCTCTCTCTGTCCTCCCCCACTCGCATACAGACTGTCAATATTTATGACAATTGATGTACTACAACGCTCTGGCAAGCTGTATTTGGCATCCGTCACAGCCCAAAATGCATCGTTTTACAGCAGTTTGTAATAATGGCTTCTTGTGAGTCTCTTTAAAGATGCATATTTTGTAAATGGCCTATGGAGGATACTTCATCTCTGTTGCCTTGACTCTTAGAGATGCTTCTGGTTGGGTTTTAATTGGCCACCAAATGGTTCTCAATAGAAGCAGCTGTTTTCTAGAGCCAATCAGAACCTCCTTTCCTGTACACACATGAACTATGCAAAAAAAATGTTAATGGAATTTAACTCGCAAGAACTATTTCTGGACTTGCTTTGCAGTTGCTGCTTTAACGTTTCAGGATCCTTGCCCTCTGCTTCCATACTTCCAGGGATAGTACTAAGGGGCTAGTGATGGTTAGTATCTAATATAGAAGAATTAGATACAGACAACAAGGATTGAAAACTTTAAAAGTTTGGTTTTTGCCCGTAGATGAAAGGAGATTCCCACCCGCATCACCCCAAGATCTCTCAGAACAGCTTTGCTAAGATTTCTTGGGCAGAGTTTGAGCACATGGGTGAATGTAAGCAGAATCTGCTTGCATTAAACTTAGATATAGTGAAACTCAGTGGAGTAGATCGAAAGTTGAAGGCAGCATTTACTGAGACCAGGCTGAGCAATTGCTTTCTCTAGATATTGTGGCTACAGCAAAAATCATTAAGGAACGGTGGCACCCTTAAAAAATTAGCAGAATTTAGAGGTAATGGTCAAGATTTTTAAAAATGATGGGTGATTTTTGGGTACCCAGTCTGAGAAATCTTAAAGCAGCCTGATTTCCAGAAGGTAGGTGCTCCGCCCTTTCCGAAAATCAGACCCTTTTTTCAAGCTGCCTTAAGTCTGGCATCCAAAAATAAAGGCACCCAAAATCACCCTTGAAAAGCTTTGCTAGTGCTTCTCCAAGGGCTGAATTTTTCTCTCTGATCATGGCTTTAAGAACTGGAAAAGGAACAGAATAGAAACAAGTTACTGGAGGGAGCTCTCTGAGTTCCCTTCTACTGGTTCCATCCCTCCTCTGAAAAATTCTGACATCAAGGGTACATTTGGTCCACCACATTCATCTTTTTAAACATATCGAGTAGCCCCCGGGTGACCGTCCAAAATATCTTCAGTGCTTTGCAGTGTGCAGATTGCAGTCTCGCTTATCAAATTAGAGTGAAGCATTTCTATGGAGAATAAAAATGACTTCACTGCCACGGCACTTTACCTGTGCCTCTGGCACCATGTATCTAAGCAGGACGAACAGGTTAACCTGGGGGTGCTGTGGTTCCTACTCCACTGGAATTGCAGGGGCTTGAGAGTTGCATGCGCAACGTCAGTGCTGGGTCCTTTTTACCAACCGGGTTTCTGTTGTCTAACTGCCCGAGCCACTGAAAACCTGCCAGAGCTGAAGAGAGCAGCTAGTCACTTCCTTGAATTGTGTTCTCTCTTCCTCCAGTGCTGTTACGAGAAGAAGTGACCCAGCTTCAGGAGGAGGTTCACCTGCTCCGACAAATGAAGGAAATGCTAACAAAAGATCTGGAGGAGACACATGGCAGCAAGTCGACAGAGGTTCTCTCCGCCACTGAGCTCAAACTCCAACTGGCACAGAAAGAGCAAGAGCTAGCGCGAGCCAAAGAAGCCCTACAGGGTAAGAGTTAAACCTTCCCGTTGTCTTTGTGCCCAGATCTTCTGTGTCCTGTTGTCTGTGCGTGGCTCTGTCACAGGATCTGTGCTTTACACTCTCTGTCTCTGAACATCTCCATGTGTCTCTCTCCACCTTTCTTTTTCCCTCCCTCCCTCTGTCACATCCTGCGATTCGGCCACGATGTTTACCAAAGAGGAACAAAAAGTTGCCCTTTTCGTTCTGATTACAGGGTTTCTAATCACCCCAGAGCCTCCTGCCTTTATCTGCTGGGGTCAGAAGGAACCGGGCTGCTTCTTAAGGGCCTTTTAGTTTAGGGTGAAGGGGAAGTAGTTTATAAGGACCCAGGTGTAATGATTTCACTGAGCCTTCTGCAGCCTCTCCAGCAGAGAGCTTTCTCCTTGAAATGGATGGTGCCCCAATGTCGTTTATCCGTGTGTGTGCATGTCTGCAGCCCACCCCCAATGCCCTGTTCCAGCATTAGATGGTGGGCGTAGCCATGAATGCCAGTGGATGTCAGAAAAGCTGCAGAGACGTAACAGATAATGCACTGATGCCTTGAGTTTCGGCCAGGGCTTGGTGTAGTGATGGGGGCAGAGTGAGGGGGGTGGGGCGCTGGCAGGGGAGGGGCTGAGTCCAGCTTAGCTGAATCCCACAGGCTTAGCTTTTCTGTTTCCCTGGGTTGAAATAAATCATTCTGCTTTCTTATTTCCTTGGTTGTTTTCCCCCCCCAGACTTTTGCCTTGCTTTGTCTCTTTGAGATGGAAACGTGTGTGTGTGTGTGTGTGTGTGAGAGAGAGAGAGAGAGAGAGAGAGAGAGAGAGAGAGGGAGAAACTTGGGTGGCCAGTGACCCATCCTAGCAGAGCCAAGGTTTTCTTAATAGAGCTGGCTACGATTCCTCCTTTTGATAGGTTGTTCAGGACGTTGTACCTTTATTTGTGTCTCTAGCCACTGTAGATTTGGGTGATTTTTTTTTTTTTAAAATTACAATACTGTCTGTGAGCACTGTCACCCTGTAAGCTGGACAATGTGCTGCCAATGGCAGAATGACCAGGAATGGCCATGACCAACCTGCACACGAATACAACTGAGGACATTTTGTTGTCGTCCCTACTCTTGTCCAGAAGAAGATCAGTGTTGTCTCTTTGCAGAGCTGCTCTTTGTCTCCTGTGTGAGGTAATAATGGGATCAAGCTAACCACAACGGCTACTGGTTTCCAGCTCACAATCAGGGCCGGCTCCAGGCACCAGCTTCTCAAGCAGGTGCTTGGGGCGGCCGTTCCGGACAGGGGCGGCAATTCGGCGGACGGTCCCTCACTCCGCCTGGGAGTGAAGGACCTCCCGCCGAATTGCCGCTGCAGATCGCGATCGCGTCTTTTTTTAGATCGCGATCGCGGCTTTTTTTTTTTTTTTTTTTTGGTTTTGGCTGCTTGGGGCGGCCAAAACCCTGGAGCCGGCCCTGCTCACAATGCTCGTGAGATCGTTTAACCTGGAAAATTATATTACAAATCCATCAAGTTTCCTCTTGAAGGTGGCAATGAACTTGCTCATGGCTTTGCCTTTGTCTCCCGGTGACTTGCATGCCTTGTCTGAGTATTGGAGAGAATGAGCCTATGTCTCCAAATGAAAACATTAATAAACTACCACGCCAGTTTACGCAGCATGAGAACTAGGGCTCAGGGCTAGTGTATGCTTGAAACACGGCTGCAGCATTGTAGCTGCTTCAGTGTAGCCACTCACTCCAGTCTCCTGTCCCTGTAATTAATTCACCTCCCCGAGAGGTGGTAGCTAGTTGACAAAAGAATTCGTCTGTGGGCCTAGCGCTGCCTACACTGGTGTTAGATCAACGTAACTGTGTCACTCAAAGTGTGGGTTTCTCACACCCCTGAGCGACGTAGCTGGTCGACTTAACTTTTGAGTGCAGACCTGGCCTAAATCCTCTTCTGTTGCTGCTCTAAGCCCTTAGGTAAGGTTGAAATAAAAGATTTTGCATTTGGCTTTTCAGTGCATTGAGCTGCACTGTTACATGGGGTGCAGTGTTATTTCTGATCTTGCATAGGCTGTGATGGTAAGAAGCACCAGTTGGTAAAAAAAATCTGTCTAGTTTCTGGATTTGATCCTACTGCCCATGGGAAAGTAAATACTTGGCTTTAAAATTAAACCACCTTGTAAGATGGTTGTAAGAAAAGATTATTGGTTGAAACAACAGAGCTTGCGAGGTTCAAGGCATGCAGTATGGGGATCAGTGTCCCTATCAACGATTTATTGTATTGTGATGCTGCTTGGTCCCTTAAGAAGAGTGGTGGTGATTTAAATGATTGACACAAAGTGGCAGTCTAAAGCAGCAGAGGGACGGGCAAGAGGATCTCCTAGGACGTTTTAGCCGCTCTAATTCGTGGTGTGAGAACCGGCTCAGGAAAAATGCAAGTTGCTCCCCTTAGTTTGAGTTGGGTCTCTGGCAAACGTGTCCCCAAAGCAGAGGGACTGAGTGTCGTACGGGAAGGGAAGCGGGGGGAAAACAACAAAGACGTTGAAGAGGAAGAATGAAAAACTCTTGAGGTGAGTAAGGGTCTGTCGACACTTGGCATGGGGGTGTGATTCCAAGGTCAAGGGGGTGTGATTCCAAGGTCAAGGGGGTGTGATTCCAAGGTCTAATTGAGCTCATGCCCAGAAAATAAAATGTAACTACAGCAGTGCAAACGGCAGGCAGGGCAAGCCTCCTGAGTTCATACCCATCCAAGGAGCTAGGTCTGTATTTGGGCAGCTAGCTCCTCCCACCACTTGCACCACCTTGGTAACTCTCTATTTTTAGCAAGCGAGCATGGGTATGTCTCCTCAAGCTAAGAATCACTTCCCAGCCTGAAGTGCAGACATCCCCTATCTCGTCTTGGAGATTTGAAGGTCAAGTGCATAGCGGCTGGCCTTATCACAGCCGGGGAAGCAAATCAACTCCCTGTGAGTGCCGGAGGTGCAGCTTGGGATACGAAATGAGAAAGCAAAGCCGAATGATATTGCTGAAAGTGCACATAGGATTAAGATGCTTTCTACCCAGCTACAAAACGTAGGGGATAAATTGCAGGCAGGTGTAATCTGAATGCAATGGGCATAAAAGGAATTTATGGGCCCAAAGTATGAAAAACTACAATCTGTGGCGGCTGTTGGTTGTTTAGGAAAAAAAAACCAAGCAAGCAGCAGCTGTCAGGCAACATCTGCTAACGCCACCATATCAGGCCTGTAGGAAAAGAGCAATAGAAGAGTCACACCAGGGATGGATGAATCCCAACTTTGAGACTCAGAAAGATGTTCAAATAATCCCTAATATAGCACAGTTACCTCCCCTTTGGCTATGAATTTTTTTTGGCTCTTGCGTAGTGTCTTTTGTCTGGGACTCACTTTCAAGCATGAATTAAACCTCACAATACCCCTGTGAGGTTGGGAAGAGTTCTCCTTATTGAGGGGGAAACTGAGGGCATGTCGGTGCTACGGGCCATAATGTAGATGTTTTCTGCATCGACAGATGGGTGTTTGCATCGAGGTAGATAATCCACCTCTCTGAGTGGCAGTAGTTGTGTTGAAGGAGGAATTTCAACCTAGCCACATCTACACCAGGAACTAGGTCAGCCTAGCTATGGTCCTCAGGAGGGTGAATTTTTCAAAGGCAGGTGGTAACTTCTCCAAGGTCCCTCAACGGATCAGCTCGGAATAGAACCCACAACTGTTATTGTGACCTCCGGGTAGAGCCGTGCACAGATACACAATTTATGTCCGTAAGAAGCTCACCACACTGGCGTGACCAGGGACAGCGGCTGGTGAGCCTGGTGCCCGCTCGAGTGGGCAGGACTAGGGGCAGTACAGCCACGCCGGAGGAGATGCCTGGGCTGGGCGCTGGCTCCTCCAGCGCCGAGGCCCAATGTGCTGCTGATTTTTACCGCTGTGGTTCCTGGCCATGGCCCTGCTGGTCTCACTCCTTGTTGCTAGGGCCCTGCAGCTCCATGAATATCCGCTTTATCTCTCTGTGGATATAAATTGGGTATCCATGCAGGGTTCTACCTCTGGGGTCTCAATGCTGCTCAGGTTTGGCCCAGCCGTTGCTCTGTCATGATGATGGGGGGCCAGCCAGGCCAAATTTGAGTGAGTGATGCTGTGACCCCATGTGCCTGGTCACAACACCACTCACTCAAATTTGGCCCAGCTGGCCCCCATTGTGGGGGCGGGGTCAAACCTGAGCAGCGCTGCAACCCCAGAGTGTAGACAGCCCGGAGCGGGGAACTGAGCCCAGCCAGCCCCATGGGACCAGAGCCGCAGGAGCCACCACTGCAGGGGGAGTGTGGGGTGGGCTCTGGAATGATCCCCCTCCAGAGTCTCCTACCCCCATCCCAGGGCAGGACTCATCTCCCACTCTGGGCCTCCTACTCCCCCGAAGGGGCAGGACTAGGGCGACCAGATGTCCCGATTTTATAGGAACAGTCCTGAGTTTTGGATCTTTTTCTTATATAGGCTCCTATAACCCCCCCACCCCCGTCCTGATTTTTCACACTTGCTGTCTGGTCACCCTAGGCAGGACCCATCACTCCCTGGCCTATTTACGGGGTTGCAAGAGGCCATCACTATTTACAAATGGGTCCTGAGCCCAGAACCGCTGCTGTAGAACAAATGTAGCAAGGCAGGAAAAGAAATGTGAAGCTAGGTTACTGGTAGATGCTCATTGGGACATCACTGGAATGTGGAGAGTGGGTTTTTTACAGCACAAGATAATAAAAAACGTCCCTTCTATTAATGAACTGTAAATGAAATCAGGAAGCACCATTTTGTACGCAGAGCCAACAGACTATCCTGATGGTTCCAATCCACCTACCAGTCAGGGAAGGAACTCCTATCTCAAATGCTGGCAAAGTTGCCGATCTAAATATAAATGAAGCCCCCGCTTGCTCGGAGTGGCACTTTGTCCCCCTGTAGTGGTGGCTAGGCCAGCTAGAAATGGATGAGTTTGCTGGGGCTTTGATCAA